AATCTGAAAACAATTGAAAATTTCTCATTTTTTTGCTCCTATTTTCGTTTATAATTCGAAAAATATTGATCCTAGAGAAAAAATTATACGAAGTTAAAAGTTTCGTTATTCAATTTTACACAATATTTCGTTAGCTAGAAATTTAAACTGTAAATTGTTAAAAAAATAGCAATAATTTGAAAAAAAAAGTACAAAAAAATGAAGTTAATCCTTTAAATGTTTTCGACTTTCTAAACTTGACTTACAAGCTCCATATTCCGCCTAGAAAAACTTTTTAATATGTTTAAAACGTGTGCTAAATTTTGTTAAGATCGGTCGGATAGGTTTTGCATAATAATTTTGCAATCCAACCTACTGGAAAAAAATCGCAAATTTTCAAATTTATAGTAGGCCCTAAATAAGACCCTCAGATAGTTGCAAATTTTTTTACATATAAAGAAAGGCTCAAATTTTCAAAGGCTTTTTGTAAAATTCAAATCGGTTTACTAGGAGAGTCTAGAAATTCTTTAAAAGTTTTAAACATTTTTTAGGCTTATAAAGAAATTGAATAAATTTACGAGCTTTAAACATATTAATTTAAAAATTTATACTCTTAAAGAACATTAAAACACGCTTCAAAAAAAAAGATACATTCGGTTTACTGGTTGCCGAGATATTGAAGGTCAAAGTTGGCATACATTTGCCATGTAACCATAAGTGATAGAGGGCTCGTTTTTAAACAAATACCCTCGTCTTGTCAAGTACTTTTTAAATGAAAAGTTTTACGTAATGCGCTTCATGGCAACATCCATAAAAAGGCAAATAAAAAACCGTTTTCGCGTAAAATGTCGCTCTGAATGCATGAGAGGTGATGGTGGGGGACATTCACTCGAAATATGAATCGGCGAAATTATAGCGCGCGCTAAAAATTGCATTATCTCGGCTTTTTGTTAACCAATTTTGCTCTTTTTTTAATCGATGTCTCAGACGACAAGGATTTCAAATATCATATTTTCAAATACCATTTTTTTGCAAATGGGGAAATTTGCAATAAACAATTGTGTGTTAAACAAGTAATTACATTTTTTCTTCATGCATTTTTTTGAGCTTGCAATTTATACATTGAAGTAAATTGTTACTTTTAGTAAACAAATATGTACTTATAAGTTGTTAATAAATAATTTAAATTGTTAAAACAAAGGCGAACAAAAAAAAAAACATTTTTTTTTTTCATAAATAAACTTTATTTTGACTCTATCTTCAATATATTTTTTAAGCCGTTTTCTTTTGTTGGAAGAACAAGAATCTTCAGGTCTTATTTCTTCCTCAAAACCTTCATTTTCATAACAAATTGATATGTTTAAAGCACGTAAAGTTATTCAATTTGTATAGAAGCCTAAAAAATGTTTAAAACTTTACAAAAAGCGTTTGAAAGTTTGAGCCTTCCTTTATATGCAAAAAAAATTTGCAACTATCTGTGGGCCTTATTTAGGGCCTACTATAAATTTGAAAATTTGCGATTTTTTTCCAGGAGGCTGGATTGCAAAATTATTATGCAAAACCTATCCGACCGATCTTAACTAAATTTAGCACACGTTTTAAACATATTAAAATCTAGGCGAAATATGGAGGTTGTAAGTCAAATTTACAATTATTGCTATTTTTTCAACAATAAACATTAAATTTTCAATTTCTAGCTAACGAAATATTGTGTAAAATTAAATAATGAAACTTTTAACTTCTTATAATTTTTTCTCTAGAATCAATACTTTCCGAATTATAAACGAAAATAGGAGCAAAAAAAATGAGAAATTTTCAATTGTTTTCAGATTTTGTTAAATAAAAAATTTAGCACAGGGTTTGCGACTGGCGCATAGCGTGATTAGCGATATTGGGCACATCCTGAAGTGTTTCCAGCAAAAAAATAGCTTCCTATGGAAAATGTCCAATCCAAAACAGATCCCGCCTAGGCTATAATAACAGCGCAACAAAATGAAACAATTTGGTGCTTGAGAAATAACGAATTTTAAATATTTTTGATGCTCTGATTTCAAAAATGCTCTGCACTTGCAGACGAAGAAAAAAAGTATATTCAAAAGTATAAAATTGAGTATTAAACCTATAGTTTATTTTTATGAACGAGAGAGTAATTAGCATAATTTTAACTGGTACCTTCGACCACTCCATGGGCGTGCTCAAGATTAATTGAAAAATTACTTTGAATAATTGTAAAAAATAAATGAATTATTTCAGTGTTATAAAGTGTTATGTGTATGTAAACAAAAGTGACCTCTTTTATCACACACTTTATTAGAACTGACTGGCCTACATTAAAAAGGGTTTTAAAAAATTCACATTTTTTTTTATTTTTAAAAATTACAAAAGAGAAAAAGAGTTTTTAAAACCGTCTAAGGTATGTTAAATAGATGAATAAAAATATTAATATAAAACTTACAGCTACTTGTTACAAATCCAAATCAGATTCAGAAGATGAATTTTCAGAACCAAGATTTATAATAACTGGCTCGATCATTTTATCAGTAATATTGTCCAGCTTCCACATTTTTTCCTCTTCTTTAATAGTGTGATTTACTGCCTTTTCCCAGTTTTCAGATTTTACATTATTTACGGCCTCCAAAAACAACTGTTTAACATCATGAATTTTAAAAGTGGTATTTTTTCTTGAAACTTCACTCTTTATCTGTGCCCATACCAGTTCAATCGGGTTTAATTCACGATGATATGGTGGGGATCTAAGTACTGACATTCCACAATTTTTGGCAATTTCATCAATTTCGTATTTTTTAAATTTTTCTTTATGAAGGGCACACAACGAATAAAGTTCCTTTCTTATAGATCCGGGATGGTACGTAATATTTTTTGAACTTAGCCAATTCTGCAAGTCTTTTTTTAACCACTTGGTTGTGGGCAGTCCTTCTATAAGTCTGGAGTGATAACTTGCATTATCCATTACTATTACACAGTTCTTAGGAAGAAGATCTATCATTTGTTGGAACCATTCTTGAAAGACATCAGCGTTCATGTCTTCATGGTAGTCACCGGTACGAGTTAATTCAAAAGTTAATAAACCACCTTCAACAAAACCGTCTGAACTGCCAATGTGTACTATTATCAGCCTGCGTCCATTTCCTAATGGTGGGTTTAATAAAATATTTTTCTTTTTTGGTTTCTCATTTCCTTTATGGTTCTTAGAAAATGTCTTCTCCATATGACAATATCGCTTCTTTCTAATAAAATAGACTTTCTGGGATTCTTTTTCCAGCGGAAGCCTATTTATTTTAAAAGTTTCCATAACGTACTTCGACTCATTTCTGGGTAATCCTTATCATCTCGAACTGAGACAAGAACTTTATCCAATGTTGGAAATTCTTGTCCAAAGAAGAATTCATGCACTTTCCGTCGAAGTCCTTCTTTAAAATGATATTCTATTTGAAATTTTGGTTTCCCTGGAGCATTACGTGGCATTTGAAAACTACCACATTTCTCTTCTTTAATAACTCTGTAAATCGTAGATTTCCCAACACCAAGTGTACTGCTAACTAACTCAACGGTCGCATCAACACTTTCACATAAACGTTTGTCTGTAAATGATTTAAAACAATTAAATATTAATGTTTTTTCATTAACTGTTAAAGAACCAATTTTTCGGCGTTTACACGGCACTTCCAAATTTTCCATAACACTAGTATATACAATAAACTGCACCTTGCAACTGAAGTACCTACTTTTAGTGAACTGTTAAGAATTTTGAATACGCCACTTGGACCTTCCTACAAAATGGAAAAACCCACTATCACATTTTCTGTGGAATGAGTTTAGAAGGTAATTATCTAGTCAATTACTGTCTTAGATTCCTGGAACTAAAAAATAAAATGTTTGATTGTTGAAACCCTCACTTCGTGGAATGCACTCATTTCAGATAAAATAAAACGTTTTATTTTATCTAAAGAGTTAAACTTTATTTTGCAAATAGGTAGGTACTTATTAAACTTTTATTGGTTATATACAACCAATAAAATAAACATCTTACATTTCTTGCAAATTCATTAGTACCTGTTAACCTCCATCACTCCGACACTGGCAACCTTATTTAGGGATTAGTTACCCTCACAACTATTGTATTCTATTCTGCTCCAACCTTTATACCTGGTGGTCATACTCAATTTAAAATTGTTTTCCTATATACTTCTGTAAACTTGTTGACAAATATCTGTTTTTCATTGAGTCACCCGTATCAACAGTTTAGGGATTTGCATACATAATTTATTGTTTTATTACTCTCTCATACATAAAAAATACACTATAATAGGATAAATAGCCTACAATAGATTTGAAATGAATTAATGTTTCTGTCTCAGATATCTCTAAGAACCAATCAAAACCAAAAACAAATAACAATTTAATAGAAAGAGCAAATTGGCTTATCGACATCTCGTAACATTAATTAATATTTAACTGGGAATAAGCCAAAATTAAGGATAAAAAAATAAGTTTATTTTTTAAATAAACGTCAATAAACGTATTTTTATCCTTAATTGTGGCTTATTCCCAATTAAATAGTAATTAATTTAAAATGCCACAAGAAAATAGCTTCAGAACAATATCTCGTAACATTTTGATCTCGTCTATCTAGATTAGAGGAACAGATACGTAAAAACGAAGTAAAAGGGTAAAGATATAAAAACGATTAAGACAATCACCAATCTCCTCTGAAGGCAAACGATGAGAAAATATTATTTCAGATGAGCGAATAATAGGAACAACAACGTTGCTCCCATTCCGGAGTTCAAGTTCACATATAAATCATAACGTCCTTCATCGCACTCGATGCATTTCTCCAAAAAAACAAACATGCATCAGCCACCCAGCCGAAAATCAAAGTTTCCCTCGATCATTTCATTAAACACAACGCTGCTGCCGGCCTTTGTACCTGCCGCAAAGATAATAGCCCGACTATTATGTATTTTTTCACAGACGCGTTTGTGATTTGATTAGTTTCAAGCTTGTAGTCGAGGAGTGCGCATCGCATTGCGAGCAGTGAGCGCAGTCTCGTACATCGCACGCTATAGTGAAGTTTGTGGCGGTCGCAGTTTGGGTTCGAATTTTCAAAAAGAAGTTCGAGTCTTCCCAGAAAAATTAGTTTTTGGTGTCATAAATGTGTTACTTTTTGAAATTAGTGTTGAACTTTTTGTTCGTGGATGTAAATTGCCAGTAAACTCAAAGAATAATATTGATAAATTGATATGTAAGTCTTCAACTTTTTTATTTATTTATTTCATTTTCAAATTGTCACTACTAACATTAATATTTTAATGAATTCACTTTCAATGGCAAAATATGTAACAAAAATAGAGCTATCAAAAATTTTCAGGATTATTACAATTTTCTCATCCAGTCAATTGCACATCTTGATGTTGGACTATCATTCAATTTTTCAACTATGTTGTACTATGTTTTGTATTTTTTTGACTCTTCATGGTATCGACACTACCAACTCAGACGCCTTGCGAAAATTAAGTAGGTATAATTATAATTACATTCTTCACTTCGTCCAAAACTCCAAAAAATTATTCTTGATTTTTCACATTGAACTACATTTACCATGATTTCCTTTTAATATTTTGGATAATCTATAATAGCAATTGTGTCATTGTCTTCTTTTTCATATTTTAAATATATTAGTTCAACGCAATATTTGAATATCATCTTTTTTGTAATTTTGTGTCTGGGTGCTTAAAGGAATTTTTTTGATGATCTAAATACTTTAAATAGACTTTTGTCTGGGTAGTTAAATTCCCAATAAATTATCAGAATGTTTAACTAATTAGAAATGTTTAATTGTCTTTTAAAATATGTCCTACTTGTGTTAACTATTTTTAACTATTAACACAATTGTTTAAAACATTTCCTTTGAATAATACAAACTTAAACAGTTGGCAAAAAGTAAAAAATCAGAGCCAAGCTATTTTAAAAATTACGTTTTTTTATTAATCTTACAGTGAGCCAAAACCACTGTACACTTTTCATTTTAAAATGAACGCGAATAAAAGCAATATTTCTTGCTACATTCTTTGTGATTATCCGTGCCCTTGACATTTATATTGTATAATTTTTTTGCTTTACTTAGGAATCCCCAATTTAATACCCTAAATTTTATCTTCTCTAATGTTTCTTTTTTCTTTTGTAACCTTAGGAATATTCATTGTTATTTGTCTTTATAATTAGATTTTTTTTATAGTCCCCCATCATAGTTTTTATAATTATTTTTCTACCATTGGGAATATGTATGTGATCCTTAATTCACGATCCAATTTAAAATATGATACAAACCGTACCAAAGTAACCAAAGTCATACTACGATCGGTTGAGATGAAGGATTTGCTTCATCCAGGATAGGGATCAATGTGTGCAATCGACTGAATGAAATACATACCAATAACGACGTCGTGTCTGGCAGTGGTTTGTGATTATTTCATTTTTTGTGAAAACCTTACACGGACAATCCAATATAATTGAAATCTCACATCTCATTTTTGTCGAGTCTCAATATTTGAATCCCATTTAAAGGATCTTTGTAGTTTGGTCATTATTTTCTTGGCAAATTACATTTAATCTTTCCTTTTACAAAACTAGCTCAGTGATTTCATTACCTGGAACAGTACTTGGAGCATCCAATTCGTTCTAATGGCATGTTAAGATATGCCACATTAGCTTTTCCGTTAAGTGGAAGCCTTTTTCAATATTCTGTAACATTTAACTTTTAAGTAACCATTTTTTTACATGATTCGATCTATTTCAATTGTCATTTTTCATTCTATGAAGTCACTGTTTTATCGAAAAGGAATTCAATACTCTTTGGATCCTTCTGCAATGTTTTAGCTCCATTAAAGTTTTAGTGTTGCCCTTTCTATGAAGTTTCCTTCTTTTATTAAATAAATCTTTTGTGTCTAAACTTGATAGCGAATACATTGGATACATTATTCTCTTCAATTTATTTTATTGTCTTATTTTCTTGGTAATCAAATAAGTTTTTAATGCACAAGAAATTAATATTGCATTGCAGAACATTATAACAACTGTTACGAGAAAGAGAAAATTAAAGATAATGAAATTTAGCATTGTATGCACATTTTCTAGAACTAGTTGTCTTTCAACTCCACCTAATAAAAAAACAAAAAGATCAAGGTCGGGATTGCGAGATGGCTAGGTTACCGGTTACCAGTTCTAAGAATAGTTTAATATTAATTCATCGAGAATTTTTCCCAACTACTAAGTCTAGCATTGCTTACACTATCAAGAAATATTTTTTCAAAATATTTCCGATCAAATTTTGTTACTTTCTTGCTTAATAATTTATTTTGAAAAACAGGTTCAAACTATAGATATCCTTACCCTCAAAGATATGTTAATTATGTTAAAAAACTTACCTATCTTGTAGAAAACGTATAATAAAGATGGTATTATCTGAAACAAAGGACAGAAGGTTATCGAGGTTTTTTCCAATCGTATTTATATAATAATCGTATGATTTTTTTGTGACCGATAATTGGTGTGTGTCGTTTAATTAGCTTGTTTCTAATGTTATTCTTTTTTATAGCATAATCGTGATATCTACTGGTAGAGACTTGCTATAAATACGATTTTGTTATCAGTTTTTTTGATAGTTGCAATGAGTTTTTCGTTGAAGTATAATAATTTGGCGACAATGCATTTTTATAGTCACAGACTGTGACAAACGTGATTTCACAAGAACTTAACGATTTTTATTTGATATATATGATTCTACATCTTATTTTTATTATCTTTTTTGAAAGACGTTTATTTATTTTAATTAATATATATGTTTGAGTGCTCCAATATATAAATTTCACAAATAAAAGCCAGATATCGACAGAGATTTGTTTTTTCAAGTGAGAGAAAAGTAGCCAACTTCGAAAAAACTCGGAAGTTGATGGTTGATAAAAAAATTATATAACGTTTCAGACTTAGTTCATAAAAAGCATATCCAGCTATCCAGCACATCAATTGAATGTTATAAACATTTAAATAGATATACACAAAAACAAACACTAGAAGTATTGTAGAAGAAGAATGTCTTAAATGAGCTGGATAGTCTACAATTTTTGACGAAGTAAGTCCTAAAACGTTATGTAAATTTTTTATCAATCATCAATTTCGAGGTTTTTCGAAGTTGCCTACTTTTCTCTCACTTAAAAACAAGTTTCTTTGCTTATTTCAATGCTACGAGAGCGAAAGTACTTGAGCAAGATTTATTAAAACAACTCTGCTCGATATCTGGCTTTTATTTGTAAAATTCAAAAATTTTATTTATTTCTCGCTTCTTGTTTTGAGGGTGGTAGTTCTTATTTTTGCATTGTAAATTTCCAACGTTCGTTGTCCTTACCATTTAATTATTTAATAATAAGAAGAAAAACTATTCGTGAATGATGGTACGAAAAACTTTCGTGAACCCTTTCTGAGATAAAACACTGCGCATACTCCCGAGCAGAGCACTGCGCAATAAGTATACGTGAAGTTGGTATGATTGACTCGTCTAGAGCTCATTTGAAACGTTGTGTCTAAGTATCCAGACGCGTTCCGACCAATAGAAAGATTGCGCATGGTCCAACGTATTCACTTTATATAAAAACAATATCTCGTGGGGCAGCAGTTAGTTCTGATGATGACATATCGATTGTAGAAACGTTCCAAAACGTTTGTTGAAGTGTAGACATTAGCAATGGATTTTGATTATTACTGTAGTATCTTGTTTTGTGTTAGTGTGTAACCGAAGTGAATGTTATAAACTTTTAAGTAAGTTACTGAGGTTTTTCTAGTTTTGTTGTAATTCTTCGTTAATAATATCTTTCTTCTATTTTGCTTTTATTCAAAAGTTTGGTACTAATTTAGATCGTTGGATGAATATGGTACAAACCATTCTGCTTATCAATTTTTTTTTATGTTAATGCCTTTTTTACTTTTTTCCTCATATTTTTATACTGTTTCAATAACGGCATACAGGAGCTTTTATGCCATTTAAGTTTTAACATTTTTGATAATAAAGGTCGGTGACAAAAGCTCTTTATCTTTTCCATTATCAAAGAGAAATCAAAAAAGTGTAAGGAATACAAAACTTATCTGTCTCGTGAATCATACTGTAAAGCTACTTCTTTGAATAAAACATAACCAAATCTGTAGAAAATTATTTGAAGACGCGTACGAAACAAAACTTGGTTTCAGGAATGGTTTTGAAACGATAGAAACAGTTCGTTCAATAAGAATAATGAGATTTAAACTGCGATGTAGACTTCATATTATATATTATATAGTGTCATATAGTGTCATATATTATAGGAAAACCTTCGACAAAATAAAACTCAATTTCCTTATTCTATCTCCTATGGCGCTACGGCCCAAGTAGGGTCCTGTACTCCCACAGCATCCGCCTCCAAGCATCCCTTTTAGCAGCTCTCCTCCACTTATCTACCTACATTTCAATTCTAACTGATTCAATTAGTATTAAAAGAGGACCCACGACAGGCTTGCGTTCTATATTCTCTTACTGTAAGAATATAAATAAAACATTGACAATAAACATAAAAGGAGCAGAATTTGAATGAGTGTAAAATAACGTTCCTGAGATGCACTCTAAACGAAAGATGGGACCACTTAGCTTAAATAAAATAATGAATGGAGTAAACAAGACCAATGCAAAAGTTTTTAATCCAAGTAATCAAGTACTCAGCTACTATGTGTTTCTACGGTGTTGATATCTATAAAAAAAGCATTTGCATTGTGGTGTTACTGAAAAATGCTCAGAAAAAGGAAAACCTATTCAAACAAACTTGAAAAAAGGACGCCTTAACCGAAAAGGGCAAATCACCAGGTAACCCTGACAATGCCTTCAGAGCTGTTTATATAATTCTAGTGTTTAATCAATAAACCACAGTCGGTAAGTTTTATCTTTAACGAAAACCCTAATGGCGATAAAGGTGTTAAAACACCTGTAAACAAACAGTAATATCGCACAACTCTGGGTAAATATCATAAATGATTCACAAGATTACAAGAAACACATTATTGTCATAAACAAGGAAAACGGTATATTATTGCAAAGAATGTCAATTTGTTTTTAATGATAAAGACCTCCAGTAAATCACCACATCCAACCGTCTTGAATTTACCCATTGACCAATAGACGGAAAACCCCAGATCCAATTTTCTTCTAGGAATCGTTATCAGAATCACGTGTATAATGTATATATACCGAATCCAGAATTTCTAGTTCCGTTAGTTAGTAATTAGTTTTTTGACCACAACATCGATATATTTATATATTTAGTTATTTACCTAATATTCATACATTTTAGTAGAAGAAAAGTCTTCATGATCGAGAAAAATTAATAAAATATTGAGTTTACAAAAGAAATTTGGGATTTGTTAATATTTCTGTAGGTTCATTATCATTTGATCATTTCTTCCTTTTACATTTTGATATTAATTCATCCATATTTACTTTTTTTTTCGTAATATTTATATGTATTTTTTTTTCACAATTAAGAATAACACTTACTTAATGTCTTTTTTTCGTTCATTTGCATTTTTTAATTATTTATTGTATTTTAATTTATTTTTCCCAATAATGAAGCGTGGGGGCAAAGGGGTTATCTAATCTTTCTAATTCCATTAAAATCATTATCTGCACAATTATAGGGCTATTTATAAATTGCAAAGATCTATTCTAATGTCTTGAAGTACAATTTTACTCTTTCCTTTAGCTCAATAAAGTAATATCAAGTACCGTACTGTCGTAAATAAACAAATTTTTGGATCATATATTCTACTCTTCTACTTTTCTCCATTATTTTTTTTTCTCCATTTTTAGAGTAGTTGTTTCATGGAATGATATCGACGCTTTCCCAACCAACATATATCTACTAATAATCATCTTTATATAAAACTAATCAAGTGAATTCTTTTGTTACAGGCAATAAATGGATTCCGATTACCACTGGCTCATAACAATTGGGCTTGTAACGTCCTCCGTCGTTGCCGTTACAGCGAACTTCTTTCTTCTCTTCATATTTTGTCGTAGAAGGGGCCTTCGGACTGTTCCTAATAGGTAATTATTCTCTTATATTATTATAAAATAACTATAACTTGATCGTTAGTAAAATAATAAATAATAAATTGTTCAAAAATGTATTAAACTAAATAATTATAATAGCAACTTTAACAAAAGACGATATTCAGTTCACATAATTAGTGACCACGACCTAGCAGAAAGAACTCCTCCAATAGAGCTATAAATAAAACATAAAAAATGAAAATAATCGAAAAAGGAATAATCAGATTTGTATTATACTAATAAATTCATTCAATTAACTATGATTTAAACCAATTGGCAAGGTTTGGAAAATGTTGACACTGCAGAGAAGGTCGAAAAAATTTAGCTGAGTAGAGTATTTATTTGGAGCAGTCAAGAAATATATACATGACTTACATATCGAAATAGAGAATGGGACAAACAATAGACAAAAAGAGATGAGGTAATATAAAAAGAATTTAATAAAGAGAACAAAGACGCTATTGTGGTTTATTGTTAAAAAAAGAGGTTAATGTTCAAGAAGCAGATACGGTATCAAAGCAATAGAAGTCAAAGGGCACATAATGCGGAGGGATGAAGAATATATACGAGAATTCTTTCGAGAAAAGGTCGGGAGAACAACAACAAAAGAAACAAATACAGAGCCAAATATAACAAATATAGAAGTGAAGACAGTACCTTAAGAAGAAGAACATAGATACATATCGTTTTGTTTAATAATGTATATAAATTGCATAACACATAAACAACATTGGAAATGTTTTAAACGTACACATCTTTATTATGTGACCTTTTTTTCTATCAGATGTTAAATAACATATTTTTCAAATGTATTCGTTTGAAACATTGGGAAATCCCTTCTCTATAAATAAGTTGTATATACATAAAAACAGTTAAAATTGTTTCACAAGCTTTGTCAATCTAACTATTTTACAATTTTTATAATTACTCTATGTTAATTATAGACAAGCTGAAATTTATTAGATTGTTATGTTACCACTGTTTTTATTTGCTTACAATCAAGACCACATTTAATCACACTACATTTCTCCTTATCATTTTTTTTTTAAATTATTATAGTGTTCCCAAAAGTAATTTGAATAAATATACTTATGTGGTATAAAAACTGACGTAAATTAGTTTTGAGGAAATGTTACCAATTTGTTTAAAACAATTGGAGTTGATTATTGCTCATTAAAATGGTATAAATATGTAAACTAAAATCATTTTGGCATGCTTTACAACACAGGAAGTTATAGAAAATATGTTTCCTTGTAATAAAATGGCACCTTTTATCAATAAAATTGACTCAGGATAATTTACAACAATGAAAAGTACAGTTATATTATAATGAATTTAAACTTTAATAAGAATATTAAAAAGGCAATTTAAGAACAGATATGCGCATCCCGTAGTTAGTAACTGCTTTGTTTTGGATAATTTTGCAACAAAAATACGATAAATGTGATTATTTTACCGTTGTAGCTCAGTTTAAAAAAAGAAATAGCAAAGAAATTTGGTCCAGTATGGACCGAGATATGTCATTTTTCTCCAAAAGCTCTATTTTAAAACGTGTTGGATTTTGTGACGAGCGCGGCTGATTCTTCGGTCGGTTATACTTTCACTTTTTTACTCTAGTCGGAACACAAAGTACCTTTTGTTTACAGTACTCCTGTTTATACAATTTTTTTCTAAAAACTTAGATACAATATTGGTTAATTTGACCCTTAATATTGTTAATTGACGTAACAGTGATTTAAAAAAGGCAGTCTTGGCTCCTAAGGGTCCTAGAACAATTTTTTTGTTTTAAAAGTTGTGTTTGTTAATTTGAACGAAATTCTAAGGAGCTATTGTATGTTTATAAGCTTAAACAGTGCTATTAATTAGTAAATCATTTTGTGTACATAGGTAAAGTTTGTTTAGCAGTAAATGATTGACTTCAATTTATTAGTACCGACTGTAAACATCCTGAGTTAACCGATAAGAGTATAAAAGGCCCGGTTTTAGGTAACAATAGTTTACTTGAAGTACACGGTCTTAACAATGGGCAAAGTCAGATAAATTTAATAATATTCACGACCGCACTAACTGAAGTCAACCATTTTCTGCTAAATAAACTTTAAATGTAATTTACATAGGGTAGTGACATGGGATTTTACCGTTTGTCAAGTACTTATCCTGGTTTAGGTCTTTAACTTTAGAATATGGCTTTTCGATAGAGTTCTAACGGCTTCATAAATCGTATATAATATCATAAGAGAGAAAATATTGCTGGCAAAATTGCCGGTGAATAAATTAACTCCTGTTCAGAAATACCTTGTTTGAACAAGGCTGACACAGCTGAAGATCGATGAGGATGGTTTGTTATTGTATGTTTTTTGTGTGTTTTCCAATTTTTTCAGCTGACTTTTTTGTCCACTTAGATACGGTGTTGATTCCAAGTGTTGACAGTTTTTGAACCAAGAGTCATCTTCCAGTTGGGGTGAACGGTAAGAAAGAGTCTGCCTGATAAAATCTTTGGTCCCCTTTTTTTCCAATAATTTCAAAAATAATCTAACTGTGCATACATTTTCGTTTGGTAAATTTCTTACCAGCCATTTGCTGCTTGCCAAACTTTTTGAACCGCCTTGATTTGTTTTGGAAAAAATGCTGATGTATTTAATTCGGCCTTTAAATTCTCCCATAACATCAAATTCCATTGCCTCTCCAAGCAAGTTTAAATGAGCAAAGGAAAAAAACTTTTTTTGTGCTCTATCGATGGTTTCCTCGCTTTGGATGATTTTTAGTAGTTCTTCGGTGGATAATGCTTTTGAATTGAGTTTTCTTTTTTCTTGAACACTTTGAAGCTGTTTCCGCTTGGTATATCTGGCCAATATTGCACATTTGAAAGATTCACATATGTGAATTGGTCGATTTTTTTGCCGCACTCCGTAAAATATTGTTCTTGTGCAATTTTTGCTGTAGTATTGCACATTGACTTTACAGATGACTCTTAATAGTCTTCGTCATTGATTTTTTTCATCTTAAAGGTATAATCCTCAAGAATTTTGACCAGTTCCGTTATGGTAGTATATTTTTCAAGCGTAAAATTTCTCACCCGTAGGAATTCCGAAAATTGGGTCTAAATAGAGCTTCTGGATCTCTGCTTGTTCAATGGGACACTTTCCAAAACCAATTTTATCATGATTTTTCGTCTGGATTTATTATATCTCTCCAAAATTGATTACGCCTTAACGACGTTTGTCAAACTGACAACAACAGAATTATCAGATACCTTCGTGACAGATCTGTCATAATTTTGTTGCTGAGAAATCACGGACAGGAGGGAGTTTTGCCAGTAGGAAACGTGGCGTTAATACGTGTTATCAGATAAAAATAGTCCATGAAATAGTCACCTAATTATAATCCTGTATCCATTTGCTGAAATCATTCCTGAATCAAATTTATTTGTGGAAGCATTCTATAATATTTTGTATCCTCTTATAGTTTTTATTGAATTTCAAGAATATTTATTATTTTTTAGTCTTGTATATAATACACAAAAACATTTGTAATGTAGATAAGATAGAGAAAATGTGTCTTGTGTTATGTTTAAATTGTAGTTAAACCAAAAATGGCGACTTATTCAAAATTATTAAATAGTTATGTAAAATACTATAACTATTGTTGTAATTGAATTAAGATTTAATAATTCAGTTTTTACTACAAATTTTTATCAGACAACCTGTAATTCATGGATTATAATACAGTTACATTGTTTAACAAAATATTCATGACAAATCTCCAAACATTATTAATTTTTAACGGATGTATACACAAACCTCACGTTATAGTTATTACTCAATTCGACCACATACATTGTAATTATTTAAATGATTTCGCTGTTCCCCATAAACATTGCCCATAAATCTCAGCCAACAACCAATTCCTATCGAATAACAACATTGATATGCACCAACATACAATTACCCGGTTCAGAGTCAACTAACTTTACTTACGGTTACATGAAGGGGTCAAAGAATTTACAACTGTCCTCTTATTTACGAAAAAGCCACTGATTTCAATATTTTAAAAGGCAAATTAATGCAGAACGTTTGTTAGTGTTTGTTAAGTATGAAAAATAATGTTAAAAATAAAATAATAAAGTGATTCATAGTGTGTGTGCGTTAATATTTTATTTTCTTACTCAGGTTGAAAGGCAATAAATATAGTTTTTTATTCATACTTATTGTAATAAATTGGTCGAAGAATCAATATTATCTTTAAATAATCATAATTTCAGTTGAAAATACGTTTATTTTTACGCTTGAAGTAGATTTTAACTTAACTTTTAACACTTTTTCTGAAAATTTAAATTTAATCGTAACAAATATTACAAACAAAGTGTGGTTTCACCGTACAACCACTGGGACACAAAAGTCACTTATTCAAGGGTATGGAATTTTTGGAAAGAATTTTTATTGTCAGATAATAACAATATCGCATTTTTGACAAAACCAACGAGTCCGATGAACCTTTGGGGTTGTGCTGCATAACCCACATCTTCTTGATGTTCAATGAAGAGGCAAATGAGCCACTCTATCGTAGCTAACTTCAATAGGTACATATTTTTTGAAACTATTTACTGCATGTTTTGGTCCCTTTGGGGTATCTGTATTAGCACCAATAAGGCCTGTAACAACGGCTAATCGGAATTATTTCAATGATAATGCACGTCCTGGACTTCTATATTTAAATATGATAAACGCTTTAGTTACTGCTAAATCAAGTAAATGGACAAAAAATGTGATGCCACCATTTCTTACTTTTTCTATTTATTTCGTATAGACTCTTCAGCATATCCGACTTATCCACCCACCCATATATTTGTTGTAGTCTTTTACAACTGTTGGTTGTAGTCACAGTTTCTTTGGAACCATTTTTCTGTCTTCTTTCGACAGATACCATTTCGGTAGGATCATGAAAGACAAAACATTGATCCCCTTCTGATCTTTCCACCTAGTAAAGACCATTTTTTTGAAAGCTGCCGCCAATCTGTTTCTACTCGGTCCATCTGTTTTTCGTCTACAATCTCTATTTTCATAAGAGATACGTTCATAAGAGTTCAACGGCCCTTGAAACGAATCATACTTTCATCGATAGACTGATATTCTCCTGGCTTGTAGTACTGCTGAAAAGATTCCAGTAGCTATTCTAAAATAGGACGTATTTTATAAAGTTTATCGTAATTAGCAGTTCCTCTATCAGGCTAAGGGGAATTATCATTCAAATGTATATGCCCAAGTAACCGACTAAACCTGTTTCTGTTCATTATTTTCGAAATATAGTTATCTCTCAAAATATCCTATGAAGACCAGTAATATCTGTAGCTAGGCGATGACTTGATACACATAACGATATTTACAGCTAAAAATTGTAAAATTTCATGTTTAGTTGTTGGCTTGAACGTTTTACCTTTTTGGATCGCATACAAATTCGTTTGAAACACTAAATGATGCAGTATATTTTCATTCATCAAGAACAAAAAAATTTCATGAGGAGATTCTATTGTACTCTCAACAGATGATCCATGTTTTATATTGAAAGGAATAATAGTATTTGGAATAAATTGTTTATTCCAAATACGGCCTGGATTTTTTTACCAATTGTTACCAATGTTAATAATCAAGTACCAATAAAGAAATTAATAAAAAAGGTGCCACTATTAATTAGCAAGCCAATAACATGTTGAGAATACATTATTTAGGCATGTTTTTAAGCTATACATAATTAAAGTTTGTTGTTAATATTGAGAGTAAGACCAAATTACACGTTTCCAAGTACCACGTTGGGACAGTATCATAAGTGTTCTTCCTTGTTTTTAAGATACAGTTAATTTCATCGAATGAAATAAATATCATGTTTAAATCAACTACTTTAAACTGTATATATGTCTAAATTGTCGATGAAAATGAGACATATAAGTAATTAACCAATTTGTATTTTGAGAATGATTTCCGAACAATATCAACATTTTTATGTCCTCTAATGACAAAAATGACATATTCAACATGTATTACTTTAAAAATATACTTTTCATTAAAAATCAAGGCGATTTTAATTTTATGCCGCTTCGTACCTATGTATTAAACATTTTTCTTTGTTTAAACTCCCGTTCACCACGTTCTAATGTAATGTTCGCTAATATGAATAATTAACCAATTAATTATTCATTATATATGTTAACCTATAGCATATAAATGTTAATATGACCAGTATTACCATTATCTTTACCGTTTGATCTCAAAGAAATTAATTTAAAACAATGCTCAATACACGTGCTGAAGACATTTGAGTGATAAATTAGGAACAAAGAAATTAGCTCCTTTTGATTATAATTTTTGAGGTTTTTGGGTAAATAATAGGCACATATACAGCGCAAAAAAGGGTTTTAGTATACAAGTTTTAATTACTTGGTGGTTCTTGGTATTATCATCATCCTCGTTGATCTTATCGCTAGAAAAAAGAGCAATTCTGGGAATAGTACATCTTATTATTTTGTTTATTTTCATATTTTAATTAACTCTGAATATTTCAACAAAAATTGCATCCGCTTTATTGACCTAATCTAGCCAATTAGTCAGCTTCAATTATTGGCTAAAAAACGCAAAAATGCTTCCAGTATTCCATCAGAAGAGACGGTACCAGAGAGAGAACTCATTTATATATCAAATCCACTTTAAATACCTATTCCTCAGATACAAATACCCAAAATATCTCGACTGACACTGGATAGACCTTAAGATAACCTTTAAAGAACATGCGGTACAAGTTATGCGGTACCACATGAGAATCCTCAGCAACCACACTTCAGAATACGAATAAACTGTGGCAGGTGCTCCTATTCACTTTTCAGGTGGAGAAAAATACCTTCCCCAAATGGCGATTGCGCTACTGCAAGACAAACGGTTAAACATCTCATGGAGAAATACTCGATCATAGAATGGCAAAATTATTATTAAGTGTTTTTAATGTATCGTCCTCAATAAATGTATTAAGAAATTATTGTTCAACATATACTAATGAATCTCTCTTTGTTTCAGGTTTATTATCAACCTATTAGTAACTAATCTGCTGTCCAGCATTCTGCTTATTCCTTTGCTGCTGGTGGACCAAGAGACATACTCGTCGATCCAGCCAAAAAATGTCAACAAAACCATCAGGGAATTCGACAAAGTCATCATCACGGAGGAGTTCAAGAGTGATCCGACTTCAGACACGATTGAGCTCATCAGTGCGACTGATATTGTTTCCGAAAGAGTGCTACCGATGGACCACAGTGGAACTAACGCGTTGTGCTACTTCGCGCAGAGTACCACGAGTTTCATCTGCACTGCTTCTATCTTCAGTATTCTCCTCATTGGCATCAACCAGTACTTCGGTGTCATACACTCGTTGAGGTATCACTTCTACATCAATAGATGCCGGTCCAGTATCTTCATCGGTATCAGTTGGTTTGTGGCTCTATTTTGTGCCATTTTGAGCTCTCTAACGTACAGTGATAGCAGTGTGTGGCACTTTTGCAAAAACAGACCTCAACCTAGTGACAGTGTGCGAATTTTGAACACTTTTTACGCTTTTACTTATTTTTTTCTTGTGATATTAGCCCCTTTTGTCGCCATATGTATAATTTACGTGTGCATTTACACGGCTGCACATCAGAACAGTGAACGGATGCGCAGATCTGCTTCTGCTCCTCTAAATCCGCAGATCGACTGCACTATTCCAGTTCAAGTGAAAGAATCTAGTCAAGATAGACTTAAAGAAGTGTTGCCAAAAGTGCACTCTGCACCGAATTTTTCCACGTTAGATAACGAAAAAGGTTTCATAGTGGAGGAAGTGAAGGACAAGAAAGTCAGCAGGACGCCCAGTGATCGTAGTTCTAGTAGCTTCATCAGTAATTTAAGACATAAGATTTCAAACGCTTCTGTGTTTAGATATAGAGAAGAAACTAGAGCTGCCAAAATAAGTATCATTGTAATATTTCTCGTACTAGTATGTTATGTTCCTTATGGTATAACACTTGTTCTGTGTTCCAAATGTATAGAGGTTAATACCAATCAGATATTTAACTATTTATCTTTAATACTTCTAGTATTTTCTAACATCATTTCTCCCTTTTTGTTCGGTTACAGAAATAAACGAGTAAAAAGGGAGATCTGTAAGATGTTTAATCTCTCAAAGCAAAATCAAAACCTAGATATAGTAGACAGACCTAGAAGACAGTCAACTGTTAAGAACTACAGTTTCGAGTATATTCCAGAGACTCTAGAAAATGACAAAAATGATAATATTAATTTAGAAAACAACCGTGTGATACCAGAAGTAGTCGTAACTTGTAAACCCGAGAATGAACGTAAAAGCATTCTTAAAAGAGTCTGTAACACTTCCAACTGGCCCAGTTACAAGAAATGTAATTTTATCACTGTACCGGACAGTTGTATAAGCGGAGAGGCTAGAGGTTCATTTTCTAGTGCTAGCACACAAATGTCTACGGAAGAATAATGTTTTCTCGATTAGAATAGTTGACTTCTTACAGCACAAAAAACTTTATAACAGAATAACAGTACAAAAACAGACGCATTTGCATATACATCAATGACAAATACCTAACTTAATTTTTATTATTAGAAAAGTCATTACCAACTAACAGTCAAAGCGATATTGTTAGATATTTACAGAAGTATTTTTCTTCTATTTTCTAACCGAACAACATTATTGTTATAAATTGCATTTCGATTCTTGGGTGTCATTAGAGTAAATTGAAATTAACATAAAAATTTGTTTTAAATGTGGTCGTGAAAAAGTCACCTTGATTGATTAAGGATTCTTTTAAGATAACTTATCAATTTTCTGATGCATTAACCAAATAACAATTGATGTTCCAAAGCCCCTTACCATTTAATCACAATATTATTGTATTTTTCTGTTAAAGGATAATTAGTTTTTTGATAGGATTGAGAATTGCTCATGTATTAATATTATACAATGATTGTGCGTTTATTTTATGCCCGGATTGATGGCAAACAATATCAAGTCCCATGTGTAGCTACAATGTAATTGAAGAGTGTCACATAAAACTGTAATATCATCCTCATTACTATGAAAACATTAATTGCAAAGTTCAAAACAGACATAATCGTAATAATTCTAATTATTTACAAGTAATATCATTGCTATACTTAATGTTTGCGGAATAATTTATATAATCAGAATTTTCCGTTTGTATTTTTTGTTCTTTGACTTATTGTGTTCAGATCTTGTGTTGTCTTAGAATAATATTCAAGGTTTTTTTATGTATTAACTATCCAAAAGAAATTATCAACGGTGAAGGGAATATTTTCTAAAATTTACTACAAATTTGAAGACGTCTTTCGACACATATTTGAAACAAAGTTTTTTGTTAGAATGGGCAGCTACCTGCTTGATGAGTCTTTTTTAACATACTGGTATTTCACGTTTTTGGTGCAATAAGAAGCAGAAATTGACTGACTACTATTAATAAAATCATTTTTGTTGACTTTTCTAAGATTTGTTAAAAATTTGATGATGAGTCTTGTATTGTTTACTTGGTAACAGTTTTTTTGTAACTGTTGTATTTTTGTTAGACTGAAAATTTCCCATTAAGTTATTATAAATGAGTATTTTATATTAAAAGACGTTAGTGAAATCACATTGATTAGTTGATATGGTTACCTTTTTGACTATATTTTTTAAAGACATTGTATATATTTATGTAGATTTATTTATTGAATGTATTGTATAAGATTTACAGCTTTAATGACAAAATAAATGATGTTTTTAAATTATTTTTGAGTTTTTTAATCCACCTTTACTTACTGTTTTATGGTGGGAATTCTAAATCGTTTTATTGCTCGTTCTAGAAAAATATCGTTATTGCAGCAAATATTTAAAGGCCATAGAACTTACAGATAACGAAGAAAAATACTAGATTTGTTGTCTTACCGGATTTGGGTTACCATTGCGTGATATTTCGACATAGAAGTGACAAAACATAGATCTGACTACAAGATCAGACTATGGTAGTAAAAGCCAAATCGGATATAATTTTTAACGCATTTGATCAGCATAAGAGAATAGAATAGAACCAAATAGAAATATGCTGTATTTTCACTGAAAATTGTACAATTTTATGGACAAAGCTTACAAAAAGTCAAAAAAATAACAATAATAATTTAAAATTTACTAAAACTATATAAATCGTCAATATCACAAAATAAAACAATAAAATATACAATCCATTACCAAATTACATAATAAAACCTTACAAATAAGTTTAGGCTGCTGCATATAATACTCAAATATGAATATATAAAAATACTTTTTTATTGTACCCAAACACACTGTACTTTTTTTCGTTATGAAACGCTTCCACTGAATAATATGGTCTTTCAGATACATAAGCTTTCGTCAATTTACAGAAAGCAGTTGTAGATTTAAGTTGCAAAGGCAGATGGTTGTATAATTTTTTTTTACCGAAGTCGAATATAATATGTATTTCTTTACTAACTCAGTGGACTGGATCGGTAAGTACACATCAGAGCTTGAATTTCTGGTGGAGTAATCATGATTAGGTTATGATTTTAGGGAAAAACATGTAGGTGTTTACGAATTAAGCAAACAGTTTCTAGAATATATATAGAGGGAAGAGTTAAAATCCCGTAATTTTTGAAGTAGCTTCTGCAATGTGTTATTTTACTGAGGCCAAAAATACCGTATTGTTCTTTTTTATAATTTTATAATAATATCAGATTAAGCAGCTGTACTAGAACCCCAAAAAGGAAGGCCATATCAAAAATTTGTAGACTTGAACAAGAAAAATATGATATTTTGGAAGATGCCAAATTGATTTCCTTCGAAACAGATCTTATTGCATAGCAGGCTAAGGCGAGTTTCTTACTTAACAAATCGATATGAAGGGACCATTTGAGTTAAGGTTGCTGTGTATAAAAATACCAAGAAATTTTACAGAATCAAAGATACTGATCAGGCTTTTATTAAAAAGCAAAGTTTGAAGAGCTCCTTTATAGGATAATGCTACTGTCTTATCTACGCTCTTCTTCTTCTTCAAGTTCCACTCCTATCGGAGATTGGAAATCATTCTGGCAATTATAATTTTATTGGTTACTCGCCTGAATAGTTCAATTGAACTGCATCCAAACCATTCACGGAGATTGCGTAGCCACGAGATTTTACTTCTTCCTACGCTTCTTCTACCTTTGATTTTACCCTGCATTATATTCCTTAGTAGTTCGTACTTTTCACCTCTCATTATGTGCCCCAAGTATTCCAGTTTCCTGATTTTTATGGACTTAAAAACTTCGCATTGTTTTCCTAGTTGTTCGAGAACTTGTTCGTTTGTTTTGCGATCCATCCATGATATTTTCAAAATACGTCGGTAACACCACATTTCGAATGCTTCTAGGTTTTTAATGTTGGATTTTTCAAGTGTCCAAGCTTCAACTCCATACAAAAGGGTAGAGAAAATATAACATCGAAGCATTCTTATCCGGAGCGATATATTGATATCGCGATTACAAAAAAGTTTTCTCATTCTATTAAAAGTTGACCGCACAATTTCAATGCGGCATCTTATTTCTTGTCTGATCAGTATCTTCTGTGATCCATGCTCCAAGGTATTTGTACGAAGATATTTGTTCAATTTCTGTATTATCTAGTACTAGCTTAACTTTGATGTTTTGTGCTTTTGTAAATACGATGAACTTGGTTTTCTTCAAATTGATTTTTAGTCCATAATCGTTGCAATATATATTTAGTTGTTCAGCAAGGTGTTGCAGTTCTTCTAGTGTTCCTGCCAGAAGGACGGTGTCGTCAGCATATCTTATGTTATTAAGTGGCTCACCGTTTATTATAAGGCCCTCACTGATCTCGGCAAGCGCTAATTCTGAGATGGCTTCACTGTATAAATTGAATAACAAGAATCTGGATATCCTTGGTCAGTTCGTTTTTAACTTTCACTTTTGCTGTTTGATTCCAATAGAGGTTACAGATGATTCTAATATCTCTACTGTCTATGTTTTTATTTAATAAAATTTCTTTAAGTCGATTATGCTGCACTCTGTCAAATGCCTTCTCAAAATCAATTCTTCTTCTTCTTCAGATGCAAATCCACTAATGGATGTTAGCGATCACATTTTCCATTAACTCTCTATTTCTTGCAATATGTATCAGAGATTGTATGTCGTTAATCCCTGTCCATTGCCTTATGTTTCGGAGCCAGGACATTTTCTTGCGTCCCATTCCTCTCTTGCCTTCAATTTTACCCTCGATTATAAGTTGGAGGAACTGGTATTTTTCATTTCGCATGATGTGACCTAGATACGCCGTTTTCCTTTTCTTGATGGTTTCGAAAAGTTGGCGTTCTTGGTTTATTCTTTTAAGGACATCTATATTTGTGATTTTCGCTGTCCATGGTATTTTTAGGATACGGCGATAAAGCCACATTTCAAAAGCTTCCAATCTGTTTATATCCCTCGTTTTGAGTGTCCAGCCCTCTACGCCATATAGCAGCACAAAATCAATGAAACAGGCATATACTTCCTGATTAATATCTAAGCATCTCTGCGAAAGAACAATTAATGCAAACAGTGCATCTCGTGTTCCCAGTCCTTTCCTAAATCCCATTTGTGTATTACTTATGCCTTCATCTAATTTCTTATGTGAATTACTTTTAAAAACAATTTCAAGACATGACTCATTAAGGCTATGGTGCGATGTTCATTGCATTCCTTTGCATTGGCTTTTTTGGGAAGCAGTATGAATGTTGATTGGAGCCATTCTTTAGGTATTATACCTGTTCTATATATGGTATTGAATAGATCCAAAAGAAGATCAATAGATTCAGTATTCACAATTTTAAGTAATTCGATAGGAACTTCATCACGCCCGGGAGATTTATCACCTTTAGCTTGTATCATTGCATATTCAATTTCTTCTCGTATAATGTCAGGCCCAGTATCATCCTTAAATTCTTTTGGTGCTTCTGTTCTCTCTTTGTCTTCAAAAAGTCCACGTTAAAAGAGAGTAAATTAGAGTCGAACCAGGTTTTTATTTTAAGTAGATCAGAAGTTATAATTGCATGAAGAGTTGCTCCAGGTAATACCGGTATCATTAGCAAAAAGAAAAATTTTCCCATCGATTTTTAAGTTAGTGATGTCATTTATAAAGATAAGTAAAAGTAAAGGACCCAGTACTGAACCTTGTGGTACTCTACATACAATGGTTTTGTGACTAGAGTCAGTATCATTTGCACTAACTAGTTGTTTGTTATTCCTCAAGAAAGATTGGAATCAATTCAAAGAAATACCTCGAATTCCGTAGAAAGCTATCGCCAAGCCATGCTTGCGACGTGCAAGGCCGTCGTCAGGTCACTTAAAGTTTTAACAATCCGGCATGGGGAAGTCATAAAACTGACAAATTGGGTAACTTAATGAATCACTTTATTGATACCTCAGACTTAATGGAAAATTGACCCGATTTAACTCTTACAACGGCTCCGTCATAGATTTGACATTATGTAGCCAATCATTATCAACTTATCTTTTATGAAATACTTTAGAATCACTACACGATAGTGATCATTTCCCCATTCATGTAACACTTAATAAATCTCAATCTCCTAAATTCCCAATATATCAATCTTGGAAATTAAAGAATGCTGACTGGAACTTTTATTAGATTAACATACAAAATAAAATTGAAAATTTTCAATTAAGCAGTGACATAAACTCTGACATTATGTCCTCAAATAATATCATAACAGAAGCTGCCTTAACTAATATCTGTAAAACTAAACTCAACTAGTGCCTTGGTGGACCAGCGAAATCGCACTAGCTCTATCTATTACAAAACGTTCGTTTAATAAACTTAAAAAGCATAATACGGAAGAAAATGTACTTAATTTTAAAAAACTCAGAGCAAAATCGAGATATATCATAAAAAAAAAGTAAAAGAATTACATGGGAAAATTATGTCTCTTCTATAATTCATTGACACCTTCAGCTGTCATTTCATTTGGTCTAAAATTCGTAAACTCTCCAACTCTTTTAGACAAATAAACTCCTTAACTCTTGGTCAAACACTAATTACTTGTAACAAAGCTATTGCAGAAACATTTGCTATTATTTATCAACAAAATTCTAACAATAATGATATACCTCAGTAAATATTACGGCGCAAGGAAACTATAGAATCCTCTATTATCAACATTAACGATACCAATGATCCTTTAAACATCGCTATAACTCTGCAAGAATTAGAATTTGCTATTTCTGATTTAAAAAACGCCTCGGCATAACCAGATGACATACCACCAATATTTATAAAAAAACTTGCTATTTACAGCTAAACTAGTTTTACTAGATTTATTTAATATTTGTTTTATAAAACATAAACTTCCTGATTTTTGGTCCCAGGCAGTAATGATTCCCATCATCAAGCCTAATAAACCTAAAGATAAGCCCACTCTTACCGTCCCATCTTCTTACCTATAGTATGTGTAAAATCTTGAAAAAATTTTAAACCTTTCTCTAGTATGGCACATGGAAAATAATAATCTTCTTTCCCTTATCAAAGTGACTTTCGAAGAGGTAGATCGACGTCAGATAACCATGTTACTTTACAAACCTTAATTAATGAAGCTTTTGCAAACA